CACCAGGGGCATGCTGAGGGTGCCAGAACATACAAGCAATTGGCCTTAACTTGGTGGCTCATAGGAAAAGGCCATTAATGAGGTGAAATAAAAGGCCATAATGATCACTTGTTGTTCCTCTTAGCAAATAAGATACAGACCTGGCCTATGGCGCAACGGGATGAAAATAACACTTGGAGGCAATTGAAATTATTCTTCCTTTAAGAGGAATCCTGTTAAGTGCCTGGAATGAAAGGAGGCTGTTCCAGCAAATCAATAACTGCACTAAATGAAATTACTCCTAAGTGGTTGTTTTGCCTTTGAAGAGAGACCCTCCACACCATTTGTGTTGCCCCATCTATAGTGTCCCCCCTATGACACATTTTCCCCTATACTAAACCAAAAGCCTGTCCCCATTGTTTCATTTTCTTGCCCCCCCCCTCATTTGCAGATCTCCTACTCCTCCCTCAGCCAGAGTTTTATCATTTTACCTTGTCCATTTGGCCTGCCCATCCTATCTGATTTTATATTGTGTTAATTTGTTTTACTATTTCATTTTTTATTTTATTTTATTTTTTGATGTATTTGTTTTGTATTTGTAATTTACTGTGTTGGATTGTATTTTTAGAAGGGCTTGGCTATCCCGAGTCCCCATTGGGGAGATGGTGGCGGGGTATAAAAAGATATTATTATTATTATTATTATTATTATTATTATTATTATTATTATTATTATTATTTTGCTTTGTCAAACTACAGAGAAGAAATTGCTTTGTATCTGCAACACTATACAGTGTTACAGGAATCCCCCGAGAAGTGAAACACCATGATGTAGGGATACTATACTGTATATGTACAGTATAGCTCCGCCCACTCCTCTCTCCCCCTTCTCACTCTCTCTCTCTCCCTCCCTTCTTCCCTCCCTCTCCCCTCTACTTGCTGGAGCCACCCTTCTTCCTCCCTCCCTGCTTCCCCACTGGCATGGGGCTCTCACCTGGTTGCCCGAGGAAGAAGCCCCTACGGAAGCTGTCCTGGCAGCCCTCTCCGGCCCCAGAGGAAGAAGCTTCGGTGGAAGCTGCCTTAGCGGCCCTCTACACACCCCACGCTGGCGCCACTTCAGCAAGTGGGGTTTATAGATCTGTGTATACAGTGTTCCTTCAGTACTTGTATTTTTTTTAAAAAAACCCGCAAAACAGCGAGTCTACGGGAAGCGAACCGCAGAGTACCGAGGGAACACTGTATACACAGATCTATTTGCGGGGGGGGGGGGGGGTAGGCAGGGTTAGGAGGGCTTTATTTTTAGACATTTGTCTGGTTCCACCTACTACAAGGAGATACACCGACTTATTCCAAGAACTTCCAATATTACTTTTCAAAATTAATTTGGTGAGTAAAATCATTACAATATTAAGGAGATTGAGTACACTGCTGTAATTAGAAAAATGTATCTTTTTGCATTATTTGTTACACTATTTCTTCTCTTTTTGAAAAATAATTTAAAGAGAAATAAAATAAAATTGAGAAAAGGGGGGTGAGTGAATGATATGCAGTATGCTACCAGTTGTTATTTGCAAAGAAAACATCATTGTGCCTATGCTACAGAAAGAAACAAGCTATAGATAGCATAGTTAAATGCAATGCACTTTCAAGTTCTACCGCATTATCCCAGCTGCACCAGATTTCTTCCTCCTTCAATGAAAACCCAGAACCTCAATCAGTGGCTGAGACAAGATGAGAGACTCCCTCCTGGGCACACAGAAGACTGGGCAACTTGGAAGGCACTGAACAGACTGCACTCTGGCACCGTGAGATACAGAGCCAGCCTTAAGAAATGGAGCTATAAAGTGGAGTCCATGACATGGGAGTGTGGAGACGAGCAAACCATGGACCACCTACTACAATGCAGCCTGAGCCCTGCTACATGCACAATGGAGGACCTTCTCACAGAGACACCAGAGGCACTCCAAGTGGCCAGCTTCTAGTCAAAAGACATTTAGCATAATGCCAAGTTTGTGTTTGTGTTTTTAAATACATGATAACTGTATCAAATTCACTTCTAACACGATAAATAAATAATGAGAACAGATTTAGAGTTGTATGTAGAAAGGCCATTTACAAAGCTCTTCCTTCAGTGGGATAGTAACTCTGGACCACAGTACTGACTCAAGCAGCTCCCCACTTGATGTTAGAAGCAGATCTACAAACTGCTTTGCTAAAATAGCATACAGCACTTCTGATGAACACAGAAATGAGAGGAGAAAATTAATGGTATACTTTGGGGCTGAGGTTCCTTCACTGTAGTAAGACATTTAAATCCATAGCACAATACATTCTTCAAATTCACAATGTTTATATTGAGTTAAGTTTAAGATTTCAGATCAGTGTTGCACATTCCATCGTTTTTTAAAATGTGAATGTGTAAATTTTGCATATGGAGTTGATATTTAGTTCTTTCACTGCTGTTGGAAAGAAGTACTGTTAGGTCCACCACTGTGTGATATAATGGATGGACAAATAATTCCCTGCTGTGATGCCGATTCAAATTTTGGCCTCCATTGCTGGACCTGAAATTATCTTTCATCTGAAATCTGTTATAATCAGAAACATCACTTATAAAAGTGCACACAACTATCTGTTATGCTCTGGTGTCTTGCTGATACTTTACAGCAAGAATAAATAGCCCATTCTGAAACTCCTGCCCATAAATAATCATAATTTATCCCTTGGTGATATAATGCATCCTGCTGTTTATTTGTGCAGGATTCTGATCAAAATGGAATTTGGTCTGTGTACGTTATGCACTTCGTTCAATGCTTTCCAGGAGGATGGAAGATAAAAAGTATGCAAAATTGACTTGGAGCTTCCTTGTCAAAGTAGATTCTGTAGTATTACCATCAATTTGATCTGCAAACAATACTGTTTCTCCTGACTGTGTCCACAAACACAAGAAAGATCCAAAACACAAATGTTGCCACACAATTACTCTCATGGTTTGTTTTGCTGCATTTCCAGACAGTACTCTATCTGTCACATTCAACTTTGTATATATCAATACAGTTTAAGTATCCCTTATCTGAAATGCTGGGCACCAGAAGTGCTTTTGATTTCAGAGTACCTGTATTTACAAATAAGTACATAATGAGGTATCTTGCAGATGGGACAAAATTAATTTATGTTTCATATACACTTTAGACACATAGTGGAATAAAATTTGATGCAATGTTTTTTAATAATGTTATTCATGAAATAAAGTTTTTGTGCACTGAACCATCAGAAAGCAAAAAAAATCACAAATATTGGATAGAATATGAAACCTGAATGAATTTTGTGTTTAGAGGTGGGTCCCATCCTCAAGATATATACAACAGTGCATCTTCTAAAATCTGAAAGGAATATCAAGAATACAATATATTTCTGATACCAAGCATTTTGTATAAGGGATACTGAACTTGAACCATAAAACTTCATCCTGACAGAAAAAGTGCATGCCCTCATTTGCCTTTCAAATCCCAACTTTCAAATGCAAATATCTCCTCTCAACATAACTTTTATCTCTGGGAAATAGGGAGAAAGGGAGAATTGCCCAGCTCTGGGCAGTCCCACACATACATTAAACCCACTTCGGTTTAAGAAACCCACTCCAAAGGAGGTTTAAATCCACACAGGCAGGAGAAAAAACGGGCTTTGCACATTGGCTGTCCACATACTATCCCGAATATTTCTGGGATGATATGTGGCCATCCAACCCCCCCCCCCAAAAAAAACCCCATAAAACTAAAAAGGAAATTCACCGGGAGCCAGGAGCTATTTAGGACCCCTCCTCTTTCCTGGGCATCATTGGTGTGATCCTTCAGGCAGGAGGAGAAGCCAAATTGCCCCCTGTGAGTTTCCTTTTCATTTTTGAGGGTTTTGTTGTGGAGAAGGGGGTTGGTGCCCTCATGATTTTCCAGGCTGAATCAGCCTGGAAAACACGAGAGGGCTGTCTGGACTGCCCCTTCAGAAGTCCAGGACTTCTGAGGGAGCAGTCCAGAGAGTGGCCATAGTGGATTTGACCTACGTCTTTCAGGAAGGCACAGAACTGATCCACTATCAAATTACCTCAGCACAAAACAGGATTTTCCTGCTTTGTGCTGAATGCAGTTATGTTTACCTGTTTATCTAGCTGCCCCAGGAGAAAACGCAAGAGGGTGTGCACCTTAGGTACTGTCTGGATGCACCCTTAATCCACTTTGCCAGCATCTCTATAGCAACACATTCTTTACCAAGGAGGCAATAGCCATGTCTGACAGCTGTGACTGAAAATTGGGTTTTGGAGGGTAAAGGAGGATATATATCTTCATCCTGCTTGATAAGAGTTTTATGGGTACCTCATCCTGTTCCACAATCTATTTGGGATTAAAGTTACTAGAGATCCATCCCATATTCAGCCTGGCAATCCTAATCTCATCAAACCATATAAGAAATATGACTTCAAGACTTGGGACAGAAAATGTTTTTTTTTTCCTCATCCCCTTCCCTATCTTTTTTCTTTGCACACCATGCATTTTAAACTGTAAGCCTGAGAACAGGCTATATTGAATTTCACCTTTGCAAACACCCTAAGTTCTTTTCTTGTTTTTGACTAAAGATAGATATAAATATACTAGAAATAAGATAGTAATAAAGAACAAAACAATTTTACAACACTAGTTAGTATTACATGTACACACTGGCAATGCAGAAATCTAGTTCCACCACCTACAAAAACCACAAGGAAATAAAAGTTTTTATTCTCTAGTGCAACATTATAATAATGAGGCATGCAAGTGAACGAAGCATTGTTGTGATTCAAATTGCAACTAAAGTTTGGGATTATCTGAGGGACTATATCTTCCTATAACAGGTGGAATTTTGAGATTCTTGGGGGAGGCTTATCATCTCAATAATGCAAATGCAATCCATGCAAAAGGAGTGTCTTCCTGAAGTGCTGCAAAATGCTGAAAGGAAACCTCAAAGAAATTCCTAATCCTTCATATGACATACCTGAAATATTCCAAAACCACGACCATTTGCAGAAATGGTAATTCCCACTGGCTGTGTAGCTGCAATCTGAAAGAAACCAAAATGTTGGTAGTCTGAGGAAATGTAATTAACTGGAAGTGATACTGAGAAACAGTACTGCTCCTTTATTACAGTACCTCTTTGGTCTTGAGAAGAAAGCGGTTTTCTTTCTTGATTTTGTACGTCACTGGAATTTCTTCACTGGATGAAGTAACTGTCACATCCATTTCTGTTTCAATGCCAGTAGTCAACATTGCACAGGCACTCAAAGCTTGCAGAGCCACCACCGTGTCCTGTTTAAAGAGGACAGAAAAAAATATTGACTGTGTGGAATCGGTTTCTCTTACAAGAGCATTCTCTTAGGGATCATTCTGGACATTCTGTATTCCAAGCCCTGCTCCAAATCTACAGCCCATCAGAGAGTTGCATTTGAGTCTTCTCAGTAATTTCACCACTACCTTGAAATAGACACATGCTCACTCTCTTCAGTGACAGAAATGAGGAGTAAGGTATCTGCAAGAAAGGGAAACTTCAGAAGCCCTGTCCAAGCAGCCAATGCTTGCACCCATACTGTAGACCAATGGTTCTCAACCCGTGGGTCCCTAGATGTTTTGGCCTTCAACTCCCAGAAATCCTAACAGCTAGTAAACTGACTGGGATTTCTGAGAGTTGTAGACCAAAACATCTGGGGACCCACAGGTTGAGAACCACTGCTGTAGAATTAATGTAATTTGATAGCACTTTAACTGCCTTGACCCAATGCCATGTGATCTTGGAAGTTGCAGTTTTACAATGTATGTAGTCTTCTCTGTCAAAGAATGCTGGCGCCTCACCAAACCACAATTCCCAAGATGCCATAGCATTTAGAAAGAAATCCTGGATGGCCAAAGCCTCTAATTCTGGAGATATGCTAATACAGTTTGCAAGGATGAAATTCTAACCTGTGTAGAAGAATAACCTCCCAGGTGGTTTCTTTGCTGACTCAGCCATTTCATAATAGGGATCCCCTCTAACAATCTTTGTTGTTTAGCATGAGATAACAGTGCATAGCCAGCAGCCTCAATATCTACAGAACGTGGCTGCCAAGAATCAGAAAGTTCAGAAGCTGGTGAGATCCAGAACCTGTGATCTCCTGGAAAGGAGGGAGGAAGACATTCATACAATAAAACAAAAGATGTAAGCTCAGAAAATGTGTAATCTTTATACAAAAGCCAGAACATTAAAGATCAATTCAATAATCTATTGTGTGGTGGATCTTTTCTCCCTAATTTTATGACAAATTTATTGATCAGAACACACAGCTTTGATGACATGTCATGAAAAGAAAAAAAACAGATTGGCAATGGAGTAGAGTATACCTTAAATGCACAAGATCCTGTCTGATTTTGGGAGTGAAGCGGGATCAGCCCATATTAGCACTTGGATGGAAGGCCACCAATAAATACCAGGTGATGTGGGCCATATTATAGACAAAAGGACTGGCAGACATCTCTGAGTATATCTTGGCTTAAAAAAAACTAGGACTTGTTACAGGGTGCACCTCCTCCCAAAAATTTACAGAACTTGGAAATGTGGCATTTTGAGAAGTAACCACAGAATCTCTTAGCTCTTGGTTGGGAAAACTGGTCAAATTTTTTTTCCAATCTCAGAGTTTTTTGTTTTTGTTTTTGCTGGGCCCAGCTTTAAATGAGAAAGAGAAATGCATAAATAGGTAATAGTATGCTACCTTGTTGTTCTGCTCTCTCGTTCAGTGAATCCAGAGCTTTCTTTGCATCTGTACTCCTTGCTATCGATAAAGCATAAGTCACAAGAGCTAGAGTATGGTTATCAGATATGCCTTCACTTAATTTAAATTCCAGAAAGTTCAAAGCTCTTCTTATATTATTATCGTACTGTAGGAAAAAAGATAACATAATAAGATACACATTTTAATAACCTAAAATATGTTAGCTATTTACCAAGCAAATATCAACTCTAGAAAAATACTAAAGTGTACATCCAGAATATAAATGAAATATGAGAACGTCAGGGCTATGTAATTCCATAAGTGAACAGAAAGTCAGGGAGAGAATTTCGCAACTGATCAAGATTCCAGAACTGAAAATCTAAGTTTGTTAAAATGGCTCCCATGCAATTCATTTTGCTGCTTTAGACAGAGAACAGTTTGATACCCATCTTTTATTTCATGTACATGCTGATGACCTAAACAATTTAGCTTAAGAGCCCCATAGCTTTACACTTTATGTCAGGTTTCCCCTGACATTAAGTCTAGTCGTGTCTGATTCTGGGGGGTAGCGCTCATCTCCATTTCTAAGCCCAAGAGCCGGCGTTGTCCTTAGACGCCTCCAAGGTCATGTGGCTGACATGACTGCTTGGAGCTCTGTTATCTTCCTGTCAAGGAGGTACATATTGATCTACTCACATTTGCATGTTTTTGAACTGCTAGGCTGGCAGGAGCTGGGCCTAACAGTGGGAGTTCACCCCACTCTCTGGATTCGAACTGCCGATTTTTTTGATCAGCAATTTCAGCAGCCTAACCTGCTGCACCACACTTTACACACACACAAAACCCTACTACTCTACTAATCTTACAAATTTGGAAAGAGCAGGAGTAGTTTTATATATTATGTAAATGCATATATCTACACAAAAACATTACTCCACTCCTTGAAGGCCTTCTTTTTAGTGAAAATCAGTTTTTGACCAACTATAACAGAGTCAGTGTAACTGGTTAAAGCTCTTCTGGCCTTAGCCCACTTTTAAAAGAAAAAAATAGTCATTGGTAAAATGAATTTAGATTTATATGTTCAATTCTGTGGCCATCAATCAAGTAAAATGATGGCTCTCCCAAAGAGGAAGCACTAAAATGACCTCTCAGGGAAAAACATACAGTGAATATACACATCAGGGTTGAATTCAGTGCTTGGTGGAATTACTTTTTGAACTACGACTCCTAGAATACATCTGCCAGCAAAATCCAAAAGGTGACTATGTTGTGCAAAAAAGGTTGTGGCAGAAAACTGCTGACTGAAAGTATGAGGATATGACAGTCACAAAAACGACTGCAGGCAACAAATATGGTAAATCAAACAAAGTCAAGCTGCACATGTGAATGGACCCTTTTTGGGTGACAGTCTGATTTAAAGTATTAAACCTCATTGTGCTTCCTTTAATGCTTCAGGCATGTGAGCATTACTTATTATTATTGACCATACTTGTATCCCGCCTTTCTCAATCCCGAATGAGACTCAAGGCGGTCTTACAAAGGCAACAATTCAATACCGTATGTATACATACATTAATGGATAAATAAAACATGAAAACCATCCAATTAAAACATAACATTAAAACAATATTTTAAATCACAGCATCAGTGTTGCTACTACCTTATCCATCTGATACTCCAGTAAGGCAGCCATAATATAAGCTGTAAGCGAGATAGAGCTGTTAGTGCCTCCTTGGAGTTCAGTGTGTAACACTCTTCCAGGTTCCTGGAATTCTCCACTCGGTTTCTGATGACTGGCAATCCAAGCTGCTGTTTTTTCCAGTATGAATGGATCAATGTCAATGAAAGGCTGAGCTTGAGTGAAACTTCGTAACACAAAAGCTGATAACCTAGGATGGAAATTTTATTTGAAACATACAGTTAAATATTTTCAGTGGTCCATTTTTTTCTGTTTGTTAACACACAGACTGGTGTTTATGTAAGTTGCATCAGGAAGTGTTGAAAATATGTGCACTGGAAGGTTGAAGCAGAACTTGAAGACATTAATTGTGCATGATGCACTTAAATCTAAATCTTGAAAATGAATATAAGATTTGTGTCTGGCCCTCTAAACTATCTAGATGAGAGACCAAAAGGAGACTCGTGAAAATTTTTCTAGCCTTTCAATGAAACACCAAGAATAGGTGTGAATATACAAATAGAATCTATTTGAGGAAAATATCAGGTTTATTTTAATACATTCTTGCCTCTCTCTCTTTTGTTTCTTCTGTGATACATGGAATGCAGAAAGGCAACTTATAGCAGTATCCTGTGCCATGAATACCCAAAAAAGACTCCAGGAGACTAACAAAAGCTGTCTGCAGGAAAATTACACATTCCCAGCTCTGGGAGCAACAACAGTTTAAGATTTGTGCATGTGACATACTTGAAATATGGCACTGTTAGTTAGTTTCTCAACCAAGCCTTTGATAGTCTCAATAATTCATAACGACATAGCGTTTCAAAAAGATGGACCTGGTTTAAAATCTCTGCATGAATTGCCTCTGTATGAAACTCTTACCCCTTTAAAGGGTGGGGCACAAAGTTTCAAGTGATTTCCACTCGATGCCTTTCACAATAAACAAACAGCCTCTAGTCTCAGCCATTCATAAGATGGCAAATCCAGAACATAATGAGACATTTTCCAGCTATGGGATTATCTTTTTAAGACTTGTTTCTGGCTCAAAATGGTTAGTAAAACATTATAACTTGGTAACTCATTAAACCATTTATAACTTTTTGTGTAACTGTATTGCCATTGTGAAATATAATGTTTTGAAATTGGGTCAATCATTTTGTAACACTGTATTAACACTATATTATTTACCAACAAGCCACTTACCATGTACTTCCAGAATGGTCGCTGTTTCCAAAAGCACTGAAAGAACCATCATCTCTTTGGTAAAGAAGCTCCCTTTGGTAGCCTAGAGAAAGGAAATATAAGAACTAACTATCCAACAGGTTGTCATTACACCTTGTGTTTGCAAATTTTATTGGTTTATTGGGAACGAATTTCCTTTTTATCTGCCCAGCTCTGATGGATGACTCTAGCCTCTAATACTATGAGACGGAGAAAACATCTCCCTGTCCACTTTTTCTTATTTACCTTTATGAAAAAGCTAAACAGCTTCAAATACTGCAAAGCCCCTTTGATCATTTTGTTTTTCTATACCCTCTCCTGCAATACATTTTCTTCTGACAAGTAGAATGACAACAGTTCTAGAGAGTATATCAAGTCAAAGTGCTTCATAAATTTCAGTTAGAAAGAGGCAAACCTTGATAACACACATATCAGGAAAATGCTGCTAAAAACATTTCCTGATGGATGGCACTGAACATTTTGTGTGTCTTCAAATTATTTCTGACTTAAGATGCTCCAAAGGGGAACCTACCACGGGTCTCTCTGACAAGATTTATTCAGAGAGGGAGTTGCTTTGCCTTCCTCTGAGGCGGAGAGCATATAACTTGCCCAAGGTCCGCCAGAGGGTTTCCGTGGCTCAGAGAAAATTCAAAACCTGTTCTCCAGTGTCCTAGACTAATGGTCAAACTACTATGCCACACTGGCTCTATGTTGTTTTTATACACATTCAAATTGACTCAAGTTATGAAGACCCTACCCAAAGGGTTTTTTGTTTTTTGGCAAAATTTATTCAGAAGAAGTTAGCTATTGCTTTCCCCTAAGACTTAGAGTGTGATATTCCTGAGTTCACAGATATTCAAATCCCAGTCTCCCAGTGCTGGCCCAACACTTAAACGTCTACACCAGTGATTCCCAAAGTGGGCGTTACTGCCCCCTGGTGGGTGCTGCAGCGATCGGGGGGGGGGGGTAATGCCACAGGTGCATTTGGGGGCGATGAAATAACTGTAAGGGTGCAGTGAAAGCATAAAAGAAAGAAGAGAAGATTTAGAAAAATTGATTTCCAGGGGGTAGGCCAAATAAGTTTGGGAACCACTGGTCTAAGCCGTGCCTGCTCACTTCATATCTAGGTTACATCATATCATAGTCATCCTGCTTTGTACTGATACAAAGAAGAATAATAATAAATCTTTATTTATATAAATTTATTTTTCTCCCTAAACAGCAGCTCACAACATTTTAAAAACAATACATGTCAGCATGATTATAACAATAACTTACAAAATCAACTTTACAATAAGGTATAAATAAACATTTTTAAAACATTTAACAAATATAGTTGTGGGAAACTCATCAATACAGATGGTAACCTAGAATGACTCACTGAAAGTTAGCCTTCCTGTCATTCTAAATTAAGTATCTTCATTAAAGGCTTGCAAGAACTTGAACGTCTTTAGCTGCTTTTTAAAAGACGCCAGGGAGGGGGCTGTTTTAACCTCCTTGGGGAGGGAGTTTCAAAGAGTTGGGATGGCCACTGAGAAGGACCTCTCTCGTTTCCGACAACCGCATTTGTGATGGTGGTGGAAGCGAGAGAAGGGCCTCTCCAGAAGATCTTAACATACGGATGGGTTGGTATGAGAACATATGGTCAGATAGGTAAGTAGGACCTGAACTGTTTAGGGCTTTAAAGGTCAAAGTCATCGCCTTGAATTGGGCCTGGTAACATATTGGCAGCAAGTGCAGGTGCTGTAGCAGTGGGGTGGTACCCTCCCTGGGTCCAGCACCTGTCTATAACCTGACTGCAGATCTCTGAACTAATTGAAGTTTCCAGACACTCTTCAGGGGTAGACCCACGTAGAGCCCATTACAGTAGTCTCAATGGGATATAACCAAGGCTTGGACCACCATGGCCAAGTCCAGCTTCTCAAGGTACAGTTGCAGCTGGCACACAAGTTTTAATTTTGCGAAAGTCCTCCTGACCACCGCTGACATCTGGGCCTCCGGGCTTAGCAATGAGTCCAGGAGGAGTCCCAGACTGCAGACCTGTGTCTTCAGGGGGAATGTGACCCCATCCAGCACAGGCTGCCACCCTATACCCTGATTTGCCTTATGACTGACCAGAAGGACCTCCATCTTGTCTTGATTCAATTTCAATTTGTTTGTCCTCATCCAGTCTACAACAGTTGACAGATATCAGTTCAGAGTCTGTACTGCTTCCTTGGCTTTTGGTGGAAATGAGTAATAGAGTTAGGTATCAATCTGCATACAGATGGCACAGAACTCCAAAACTCCAGATGATCTCTCCTAGTACTGAACCCTGTAGGGCCCCACATGACAACAGCTGTGAGGTTGAGCAGACATCGCCTAACACCACCATTAGGATAAAAAAAACCAAAGATGCAGACTTATTTTAGAATAATTATATGTCATGAACAAGATAGCTCCTACTAATGGTAATAAAGACATCATTTCTAATCGCAAAACAAAGAATTATTTAAGAAAACAAATGCATCACTGAACAATTCAGTTATGACTCATTTAAAAATAGCTTTAATAAGACTAATGTTTAAAGAACTTAAAAAAACATTGTGGTAGTATAAATCAGTCTACAGGGAGTGACAGATTGCTTAAAAACTTCAAAGAAGTTGCTTTGAAAACAGATGTTCATTATTTTTCAAACTAACTGTGTAACTTTAGGGTGGCCTGTGTCCAGTTGTCAGGCCAAGTATAACCCACGGAGTTTAACAAAGCAAACAAAACGGTTTCTGCTGGTGGTGGCCTTTGTTCCCTTTCTTTGTGGGAGTCTGATCCAGGATTTGAGTCATATTAGTTGTAATATGACCGTACTAAAGCAAAGAGACTTCTGCCAGAGATTACATTTGACCAGTTGTGTTCAAAAATGATGCAACCTGCACAATTTAAGAACAGCTTGGAAATTCAGACTGTCACTGCACACAACTACAATTAAGACAGATAATTAATGTCATGTATTTTTTAAAAAAAACGTATTTCAGAAATTGTGATTCTGAAAGTATACTTAAATTGTGTGAGCTAACCATAATTTGAGTTCCACTGACTTAGCACTGAGGGAGAATAATGTTACTTATAGTTCTGATCATTTCTGTGATAGTCTTCTAGGAAGATTTAAAAAGTCCTAGGTTTGAGGGACCTTTATCAGTATAACTCAATTCAAGAAAGACATTCATTTCTGCCATAGCTGTGGGAGGGGAATATAATTAACATAAAATTTCCAAAATATAGTTGATAGTATTAATTTTATGTGTTGTCGAAGGCTTTCATGGCTGGAATCACTGGGTTGTTGTAGGTTTTTCGGGATGTATGGCCATGTTCTAGAAGTATTTTCTCCTGATGTTTTGCCTGCATCAATGGCAGGCATCCTCAGAGGTAGTGAGGACCTCACAACCTCTGGGGATGCCTGCCATAGATGCAGGCAAAACTTCAGGAGAGAATACTTCTAGAACATGGCCATACAGCCTGAAAAACCGACAACAACCCAGTATTAGTTTTGTCCAGAAAACAAGTAGTAGATTACCATAATTAAACTGCATTGTGGAATCCATGAGATGCACTTGTGCTGGCTGAACTGGAGACCTGAAGACCTGAAGGTCGGCGTTTCGAATCCGCAAGGCAGGGTGAGCTCCCATCTGTCAGCCCCAGCTTCTTATGCAGGGACATGAGAGAAGCCTCCCACAGGATGGTAACACATCCGGGTATCCCCAGGGCAACATCTCTGTAGATGGCCAATTCTCTCACAACAGAAGTAACTTGGTAGTATATTCTCAATTTGCTTCTGACACAATAAAAAAACTGCCAGGTTGAACAGGAGAGACTAAGGTTCAATCTACACTGCCATATCATACAGTTTCAGAATGCAGATTAACTGCATTGAACTGGATAATATGGCGGTGTAGACTCATCTACAGATCAATCTGTATTACATTAGTCTGCACTAACTAGTTCAAACTGCATTATATGATTGTGTAGATGAGACCTAAGCAAGAGTGGGGAATTCATGGGCTTTCTTGTGCCATTGAACTACACTTTTCCATCATTTCTACCCCACCAGCTATATTATCCTAGCTAATTTGAGCTGGAGTCAAACATGAGATGAAGAGCTACAATTTCTCCATCTTTTCACTAAATGCACATCTGTGAAGCTGCTGTGAGGGTCAGATGTGAAATAATGTCTGGCACACACAGACATACAGGGTGGGCCAAAAGTCACAAAAGAGTTTCAATATTTAGAAAGCATGATCATTACTTTCTGAATTGGATCTGACGTTTTTGTTCATTCTGCTCTTCTGACCCACACCATATGAGTTATGAATGAAGCACAAAGAAGATGTGCTTCAACGCAGTGCATGTAGGTGATTACAGCTTGTTCGCAACATTATGACCTCCCAGAGAAGAAATTCCTATGCTCCCAAATCTAGGATTACAAAAAAATAAAAAAATAAAAAATAGGATAAGTGTAAAAGAAACTGCTAAAGCAATCCACATTTAAATAACAGGCTTCTTTCCACAGAAATACTCTACCTTCTCTCATATAGGACACAGCTTTCGATTTCAGATTAGACTGGAGGTCACCTGTTTTAGTCAGATAGTCCAAGACATAAATATTGGGTGCAAAATTGATCATGTTTTGTTCCCCACATCCATAAGGCATCTTGATCAGGGACTCAAGACCATTGATAGAAGGACCCAGCATGTCACCTGAAAGACACAGTTCATGGCACAAAATACATATGAATTGTTGGAAATAGCAACCTTCTTCAAGCCTTCTCTAGTAATGGTTATCTATTATCCTGTTGCTTACTGTTTTCTGTATGTATATTCTGGTAAGCAGCTTCCTTTACTCTATGGTCTCAAACATATTTGAAACTGGACTGATAAGTTTTGTACCTGTGTATAAAATAAGTTGTTTTATGGGAGAGTACATATTTTTGGGTGCTGAAAAGCACTTATAAACCTCTGCTGTTTTTATGCATTCTCTGTTTTCCCATCAGATCAGAGATAACAGGTTATTCAGTCTAACAACTCAAAGCATTGCCAGCATAATTATATCTGGTTGCATACCACAAGAGAAGATTCTACTCTAAAGCGGTTTTGGCTCTTCTCTGAAAGGTCATGCATTTCTAAAAAGTTAGGATCTCCAAAAGGTGTTTTTCCAAAAGGTTATGAATGCCGTTTTCCAAAATTAATTTAATCTTTGTTACATGTACATCTCACCTTTCCTTCAACAAGTATAAGGCAAGTATAATGGCTCTTTTTCCCACTTCTTCCTCACGACTTACTTTATTTTATTTTCATTTGTCAAAGAGCATTGAAATGGTACCAGGAAGAGAGATGAAATGCTTACCAATAACTGTGATTTGAACTCTTTCACTGCCAGGTACAACATTAGAGGGGAAAGTGAAGTTCAAATTTTCTGTAAGACTGCTTCTTTTTGCCAAATCCAAAATAAGTGCCTGCGAATGAAACTGTTCCAGTCCCTCAGCCTATTGAAACAGAATATAGATTAGATACATCTCTCATAAATATCAGACATAATAGATATGTATATTTTTAAAAGTTGAGATTCTTTGAGTTCACATTTAAAAAGTAACATGCATTATATCTGCAATAATTCCATATGATATGCATGTATATTTGAAAAATAATCATTAGACATATTACATGTTTATATTTCCAAATATTATTACAGATTTCTGGTGAATATATATAAATTATGGGAGGTGTTTACCAGCTGTTAGGAATTGTGGGAGTTGAAGTCCAAAACACCTGGGGGGCCAAAGTTTGTCCACGCCTACTCTATAGCATGTACCCATAAATAACTGGATTGTGTTGGCAAAGCTTTCCAAAACAGAGTTGCGTCTTCAGCAACCAAACACTGCTTTCAGACTTGAGTTCTTCACTACTATACACAAAATTGTATTCACTATACAACTGCTGACCCTATTTGAGTTGTTAAATGATACTGGCATTCTAACCATAGTTTAGGAAGGTCATGGTTTATGTTCCTGGTTACAAAACCAAGTTAATTTCCTATTTGAGTTGAGAATATGAAAGAAGCAAAGTGCTATGATGACAATGCATGTTGTAGATCATGCAAAAAAAATGTAAATTTACCTTTACTAAAACTTTCTGGAAAAGAGCATCAGAAGCAATGGGAGATATTGCGGTCACTCTGATGGGAATCTCTCCAATTTGCTTTGGTTTGATTGGGAAAATGACAGTCCTCCCATCTTCACTTGGGACCCACACTGACCGTTGGTTTCCCATGGCATTTATATCATTAGAAATTATAAGGATTTCAAAGGTGTCACTTGTATCAAGAGTTACTGTGACCTAAAGAAATGAAAGTAGTCAATTATTACTTTCCAAAAACTCTAAAAGTCAGAGAGTGCAAACATATTCCTAATGAACTTCCGTTTGTTTGTTTGTTTGTTTGTTTGTTTATTGCAGAATTGCTTTCCAGGTAGGAGAGAAAGGTTTTCGCACAAATTACTGGGCACCATGCATCAATTTAAGAATATTTAGAAACACACAGGTAAAAATACAATCAAGACAAATGGTGGGTTGGGAGTAGGAAGCAATTGGAGAAGTGAAAACTGGGATGAGAACAGAAGAGAGAGAAGAATATTTAAAAAACAACAAAGCAAAATTACACCCAGAAAAAATATCTCCTTTCATAACATCTGCAATCTGAGGACAGTGGATGTTTAAAATGTTCAAAACAGAGATCAGAGGCCCATGACTAATAAGCCAGGTGTACTGTGAGATTTTGTGCAGATTTTTATCCTACATAGGTCGAAACAATGAGCACCACCCAGAGCCATGGCAGAAGACTTTAATTAATACAAGCTCTTTCCCCATTTACCCCTGCAGCCATCTGCATCACTGCAGTATTGTCATGGTCATCTGCCATGGCAATAGAGGCAACATGGCCCTAAACCATGCCCCTTTCCCTATACTGATGAGCACAGGGAAAAGAGAAGGGTAGCAGGTATCTTTGCTGATGGTGAAGGTGTCTGGTAGTGGCCAAGTGCTCTCTGGCCATTTGCCCCAGCAAAGGAGAGGGGCACATAACCCCGATTTGTCCCCTTGTCTCTGCATTGAGAAGTGCAAGGAAAAGGGAATGGGAGCACTAGCCCATATGGACAGATTGTTTGCACTGGAGCCAATTCACTGTCCACACCCTGCCTAGAGCCCTCCCTGACTCTGGAGCAGTCCCCAGCTTTCATTCATGCAGAGCTAAATTTATTCACCCCTGAAAGTTGTCTGGACATCCAAAAGCAATTTCTGGCCCACTTCAGATTTGGGGGCTGCTGTAGGCAAGCCCTAAGCAATTTCTACAGGCTAGGTAGTTGTCTTAGGCCTCTTCTACTTTGTCATATAATCCAGATTATCTGCTTTGAAGTGGATTATATGAGTCTACACTGTCATATAATCCTGTTCAGAGAAGATAATCTGGATTTTATTTGGCAGTGTATAAGGGGCCTTAGTTTGTGTCAGAAAAGCATCAGCAAAGAGGTCTGTGTCATCTTAAAGACTGGAAAATTCAAGATGCCCCAGGACTCTTTATTAATTTCATAGCAAAAGGGGAAATTATAAAACAGATTTTTGAAGACAAAGGTTTAAATTTTATTACCTCAGTGTTTTCTTTCATATAATTGAATACATTTACTTCCAACATAAAATGCTCTCCTCTTGTCACAGTATGAGGGAGGTTTAGAGACATAAAAAACTTCTGGAAGACTTCTAACTGGAAAACAAAAGTTATACAAGAATGACTCCTAGAGTTATGTAATTTAGAAAACATTGTTCACACTGTTGGAGAATATCAGTCACACTGTTAGATGGGAAATATAATTCATATTGTTTTTCACCGGAGAGAACACCCTGGGGCCTAAGATATAGAGCATGGGGGGGGGGGGGCAACATTCATATAGAAATTCTGAATATATGCTAGAAGCTAGGTTTTACATTTAGCTATGTTTGGTTTTCCAACTTTGCCTGGATACAGTCTGAAGCATTGTTTATGGTCCTGATGAAATATGCATGTCACTTGCCATTATTCAACTAATGTACAACTGACTGTAACATTAGAATTAAAGACACTTGTTAAAAAAAAAAGACCCATATTGAAAGCATACTTTATTACATCCATTTCATATTATGGCAATGCAATTGTATTTTTCCAAAGTAACATTATTTTCTTGATCTGGTCAAGAAAACTATTTCAGCCAACAAATGGAATGTTAGTCCAAAACATATTTCTGCCAGGAACAAAATAATGAATGATTCCTCATTCCTTGACCCTATAGAAGTCAAAATTCAATGATGACCAAGTTATGTTACCACTTGGGACAAAAAAGTTGTCTAGCACAACTCTCTTGGATTACAAATACAAGAAAGAATTTACTGCTTTTTCATTAACACCTCCAATTAGCTGCCTCACGCAACCATCTCATTCTACCTAACAGTAAATCCAGATGGTATCAAAAACAGCAGTGATGTCTGGATCTTGGCAACTGAAACAAGGGTACATCAGATTATATTGGGTTCCTCATTATTCACCAGTTTCTCCTCTGGCTACATTCATAGCTTACCCATTCTATCCTAATGTTTCTCAGGACACCAACATTTTGAAATTAGACATTTTGCATAATACAATGCAATGGACATATCCATTTGTTACTTTAGGGCAGTAGTTCTCCTTTGTTCCTCCAGATGTTTTGGACTTCAACTCCCAGAAATCCCAGCCATATTTCCAGCTGTTATGAATTGTGGGGGGGGGGGGTGAAGTCCAAAACACCTGGAGGACCAAAGGTTGAGAACCACTGCTTTAGGTAAACATGCCTTATGTAAAATTTGATTCAGCATAAAACCATAATGATTGGTATATTATTGAGACAATAATTGAAAACCAAAGATACTTTTTATAAATGTATTGAATGTCTTTGAAGTTTCTTTAGTTTTGCAACTTAGGCGGAAGCAACCAAGAAGAGAACTATCAACTAGTAAAACAAAAAAAAGTCTTCTCTGTACTGTGAAGAAGTATTCGTTCCCATAAGTGAGAAAAGGAAACAAAACCAAGAAATTGCAATGAATTGATTCTGTATGTAATCTTACATAAAAGACTTCCTTTTATAATATAGTTTTCAGAAACAATTTTGGATAAGTAAATGCAAGGAAATACAGAAACACCATTTTGGGTTAGGGTTAGAGTTAGGGTTAGCTTAAACCTTCTTTTGTCATAAAATAAACATTCCATAATACATTTTTGTATTTTTCTAGTGAAAATGACTTTTGAAAAATTTGTTAAGGTATTTTCCAGGATTTCCAGCTCTACTTTGAACAGGTTGCAAAGGGGGGAAAAAATAAACAGTAGCTTTCCCACACATTTAAAAAAAAACACTCCCACTAGTCAATACATTGAAAGAAATAGTGATGTGGCTATATGAGCAAAGCATAAGTTGGGTGGGTCTGATCTTCAGAAAAAAGAAGGAAATTGGATAAGACACATAGTTTTCAATTCATATTTCTGCATCATTCTATGGGCTTTAGAATAACTGCTAAATCACCAGCAATGATAAGATCTACCAACTGAAAGGTTGCCAGTTCCTAGCCTCGCATCGGCATTAGCTCCTGATTGTCAGCCCAGCTTACTGTTGACCTAAGCAGTTCGAAAACAGCTTGAGCTGTAATTAGAGAAATTTGATACCGCTAAGCAGGGAAGGTATTTTACGACACCAAAAAGAAGATGATCAGAAAATGCCCGGCGACCAAAAGGAAGGAGGAAGTCCTAATGGCTATTGTCATAGAAGATGGAGCAACAGCACCCCCTGTGGCTGGATTCGAGCACAACCTCACAGGGGCCAAAACGCTGGACATTGAAACAACAGACTTCCTTTCTGTTCTATTGTTTCTGTCCGTTTTCCTCCTATCTATCCAAAACGGCATTGAATGTTTGCCTTGTATGTGTACTGTGATCTGCCCTGAGTCCCCTTGGGGTGGTAGGGCAGAATATAAATAAAGTGCTATTATTATTATTATTATTATTATTATTATTATTATTATTAAGATGTTCACAAGAAACATTCAATGAAAACAGCTATTATATGGAGCAATCAATAAAGAGCCAAAATTTTAATTAATATCAGATGCAATTCATTCTTAAATACCATTACTTTTAAACAGTATTTGCATAAAGTGTATGTAATGTTAGTTAGTTAGATATGTCCATAAAATAATTACTTGTGTGTGATAATATATAACACATTTTCAACATATGGAACTTGAAATAGAAACTGAGAGGTCCAACAGTGTGCAGGGGGGAAATTAAGTCATTGTGAGGACTGAAAGGGAATCTTGGCTTTGGGTCTATTAAGGACTATTCAACTGCAGCCAAGTGTCCAACTTCCTAACATCTGACACAATGTAGTTTTAATCAATCAATGCCAAACTACATTCAAGAAAAGAGAAGAAATAATACTGATGTTAATCTTATTCCAACCTGAAATAAAATGTAAGACCCAATTCCAAATTCCTAAGATGATATTCATAATTAAATCATTAATTATATGTTTAACTGCCTGATGTAAAATCTCAACTCCAACCTCATCCTATGTTTTAACTGATTATAACTGCAGACTTTATACTATGCATAGTGTATTAATTGACTAATGTTTATTTATAGACTCGCATTCCTTGTCTCAACAAGAATGGCAATAACATCAGCCAGCACGATCCAGCCACTGCCTCTTGTCACTCAGGTTTTCTAAAGAGTCCCTGATCTGCAATATAGCATCCAAAACATAGTTGCTAAAGACACCAAAAGCCCACTTCTCTATCAGTGTCCAAATTATAGCATTGCTTGTCCTGGGATATGCACTTGGCTCCACTCAAATGGTTTTCTGGCACCCAATATGAATGCTTTTCCTCAATGGTTTTGACATTATTATTCCCTCATCTTTTGTATTCGTTTTAAGACCTTGATCCAATAGCTAGTTTCAAAGAGACTTGTAAAATCAATTGCTGGACATAAACCAATACTTGTATATATCTCACTAGTTTGAGATGCTTGGCAACTGGATTTAGGCCTAAATGTTTTATCAGCTGTTCCAGATTGTGTTTTAATTTTAAAATGATGAAATAGTGCTTTGTGAAAATATTTTGTACAGAAATACACATGGCTTCTTGTTCAGGAATATCACATACTGTTTTTCTGCAAGATGACTCCATTTGTGCGGGGGGGGGGGCAGCAAACAACATGACTATTTGCTTGAAAAACCTGTGTCTTGCACACACAAAAAATATTTTTCCTCACACAAAATAATTTTTCCAGATACACATATGTTTGATTGGTTAAACTATTTTTTGTGTGACAAATGGCCATCTGAAAAGGCAGAGATTGTAGGATTTGTGCACCAAAAATTCTTAGTCAGACGCAGGCAGGATGCAAGACAGCTGAGTTTCACAAAAACAAAAGTTGCCTTTGTCAAAGGGTTGCTGAATGTATCATATCAATTTGTGGAATTGAAACTCTGACTGTGAAGTAAAACTACAAACATTATCTTTCCTCTGAAATCCAGGTTTTGTTTTTTTTTTCAAAATCTTTCACCACATTTCCTGAACCACAGTGCCCTCTAGAGTTTTTAAACATCTCCTGCAATATTCTGGTTGCTCTTTGTCTTCACCGGGTCCCTCTTGGCCCCCTTCTTCACTGCCATATAATCCAGATTATCAAAGCAGATAATCCACATTATCTGCTCTGGCCTAAATTATATGAGTCTACACTGCCATATAATCCAGTCCAATGCAGATATTCTGGATTTTATATGGCAGTGTACAAGGGGCCTAAGCACCCTTCCACACAGTCACATAACCCAGAATATCAAGGCAGAAAATCCCACAATATCTGATTTGAACTGGGTTATCTAAATCCCAGTCATATATTCCAGTTCAAAGCAGATAATATGGGATTTTATTCAGCTGTGTGGAAGGGGCCAAAGTCTCATCTGGCAACAAGCAGTGATGTCTAATGCCCTCTCAGGCTGGAGAAGCAAAGGGCAACCTCACCAAAGGCAAAGCGAAGAGAAGACCAGAGAAACAATATGCTACACCACCTCCTTTCTTGAAAGTCCACAATACTTTACACAACTATGCTAGTTGAAAGGACTGCCGTGTGACTAGTGTCTGTCCCATCTAGAAGGAAGCTTCCATACAATATACATGAAAGCAATGATGGGCTTCCTGAATTCACTTCTGTAACTCAGAGTGTGACACTGGCCATCTCAACAACCCACTGCTTCTGCCTGATCGTGTTTATGTCTGGTTCTGCCCACCACACTGCAGATGTGGTCCCCAAACATGGCTGGCTCCCCATGCTCATTCATAAAATCATATATGGCTCTGTCTCCCAAGAAAAGTAGCTTTCAGTATCAGTGATTTAGGAATACAGCTTTCAGAGTCAGAGATTTAAAATGGCAACATGAGGGGAGAGTGCAAAACTGTCTCCATGTGTGGTTTTACTACAGTAACTCTTCCACCACCCTTGTTTGGAAAGGTTTCTATGTCGATGCCCCTTTACTTCACCCAACCTTAGAGACTCTGGATTTCAATTTCCTCTCTAGCAATCAAAAATTAATACTCTCTGCACTGGTACGTACTCCTACCAACATTTCAAATTGACTGTTCAGACACTGGTAACTTTATCAGTCTCCATACTAGTCAAACTAGTCCCCCACAATAATCTTACAAAAATACCCATATTTACTCAAATGTAATGCACATCTTTTTTGGCTTAATCGTGTAGCCAAAATGGAGATGTGCATTACAATCACGCACCAAAAGGTGTCTGTGCCCCTCTTTCAGGCTAAGCCTAGCAAATTCACCAGCCTCAGTGGCTTCTCTTCCCAAGCTGAGATATGGAGTCAAGCCTCTCCAGGAAGTTTAAAGGGGAAATGGGGAGCTGGAAGGGGAGGGTAGCAGTGCTATCCTGGAATTGGGATCCGTCATCCTGAGAGTCATTCCACACAGGCCCAACACCTGAAAAGTTCTGTACCTTATTGAAATGTCTAGATCTTTTCAGATGTTTTTTAATCAGGAGTAAACCTAGAAATCTGGGTTTAATTTGGATTAATCTGGATTAGTCTGAGGTGTCATTTGGGTGCCTCAGAATAATCTAGAACCAATCATGACTTTTGTCTAGAAGGTCCCTGAAATATACTTATCCCAGTTTATTACTGAAATATATAATTTTGACCACATATTGGAATATTAGAAGCTCTCCTCTTAACTTGACCAAAAGATACAGTCTATTTATTTATATTTTAAATTATTCTATACTGTTGTGAATTGCTTGGAAATCAAATTCTAACGAAAGGTAGCATCTTTAAATGAAAAGAAGTGAGAGGCAGAGAACTGCAATGGCATAAGAATACTATGGATTTGCAGGTAAGGTTTGTTCTGAGTACCATGGTCACTATAAATCACTGAATTTAAAGCATTTCTACAATTCTGAAAACAAATCATAATGCTGGAATTAGACTGAACTAGTGGTATCTTACCTCAATGGGCATTTTAATCACACCAAATCCAAGGTTTTCAGATATTATAAATGCACTGGCTACCCAGGAAGTAATGGTATCGGGAACAGTTACATTCACAGTCGTTTCAGTAGATCTAAAGTTGGGAAGGAGACAGGAAGTGTTTTTCTTAATTAAACATTGATCAAGGATCATCAGTCTAGGCAAATATTTCTGGTCAAACAATGGATTTTGTTAAAATTGGTGAATAGTCTGTGGGAAGATTTACAAAAGTACAAAGACGTTTTAAGCTTTCACCTTTTTTACAGGCTTTCAGTGTTTGTGTTTCGTGACACAAATAGGAGTGCCTAAACCAGCTACAAACTTTCCATTTTAGGGTGCTTCTAGACAAGGCTAAAATAAGCACCAAAGCGCCACACAAAAAATCTGGGGGTGATGTAGCTACATGCCATCCCAATTTTAATTGGAATGGCATGCAACCACCTCGAAGCCCCCCAATTCACCCCTAAAAGTAAAGTAAAAAGTATCTGGCCACCATAAGTTCCCTCCCTATGCCTTCCTGGCACAATGAAATGGTGCACCATGGGGGGGGGGGGGCAAGGTGGAAAGTCTCTCCTCGACTCCTCCTCACACCATGAGGGCATGAGGAGAGAACTTATGGCAGCCAGGTACTTTTTACTTTATTTTCAGGGGTAGATTTTGGTCTTGGTTGGCTCTAAGGAGATCAAAAGGTGCAAAATAGCAATGGGGACTCACCCTGGGATAGTCCCAGGACTACCTGGTAGTGAGTCCCCACAGGTCTAATACCCCATTAGGTCTGTTTAGTGCAGGAGTAAGGACATAAAAGCTGTGGTTCCATGGCCTTTGTTTTATATCTCCCAATACTCTCCATATTTTTTAAAAATCAATACAATGCCAAAATTTGACAGCCAAATAATAAGTAAACACGAAAAACTGTTTTATAAAGTCAAGAGAAAATCTGAGTTTGGCTGAGAAATGAGCTTCAATTGAGCCTATTATATCCCAGGAATGTAGAAAACATGAAACTTTGAAAGATTTCCATGCAGTGCACTGGTGTTTACAGCACCCGTGCATAACCGTATTTTAAAACCCTGGGCATTTCTGCACTCAGCGTATGCACTGTAGCACATCTCCACTTTCCTATTAGGTTTTACCTTGTCATGATTTCACGCCAAATCCATGTCTCTGGAAAATTTGTCCTTACATAGGGATTACCAAAATCCACAGGCATAGCTGAGGTCTCCAAATGATGGTGAACATCATCATAAAGAGCATAATCTACACTTTCACTATCTACTGGAAGAAGAAAAAGTATTGTGAGGTTTTTCAAAATATATACTATATTTGTTCCACTGTAAGGCACCACCAATTGTAAAATGCACCCTAATTTGAGTGCCAGCAACAACAGAAATACGTAAGATACACTTGTGATTCTAAGACACACACACACACACACACACACACACACACTTTTAGAGATGTTTATATAGGAAAAAGTGCATCTTAGAATTAAAGAAATACAATATATAAAACTGAATCCCAAATTCAACTCCTATCATTCTTGGCAGGGGGTTGGACTGGATGGCCCAAGAGGTCTCTTCCAACTCTATGATTCTATGATTTGCACAATTATATTAATATACTGCAGCATTAATTATATCAGTCTCTATCATTTCCATTATGGTCCATCTATATGTATCTCATACACAGCTTAGGTATTGGTTACTTGATTAGTTTGTACTTACAGAAATCATAGTCTCCAATATGTTCTGGAAGGCTGGCATCCGTCAATACCCAGAGATTGCATTTCTGAGCACAATGTATGAAAAGACAGTTAAATTTCAAATTTCACACACAACACAGGAAAACATGTTACTGTTTTTAAAATACATTTACACATTCATACATAAAAGAAAAGTTTCACTAATAGAAGGGAAATGACTCCAATTCTAACAGAAATTGATTTCCTCCTCTAAGAATCTAATAATTACACATGTGAATATGGCATCAATTGACTTAGTGATTATCACTGTAAACTTTATATCTCCTACACCATTTGTTTTCATTCAAATACTAAACTTAGGAAGAGAAAATTGATATTCCTATTTTAAAATATTACCTGAAAGACACTGTAGGCATTTCTGGCTTCCCCATAATGGAGTGCTGTATTATATAAACTCAGCTCATGGAGGATCTAAAATTGATTAAAATAAATATTTTGAATTGGGAAAGCTCCAGTAATCAGAATAAACGTAGTTCCACATATCTCACTTTAACAAAACGTATACTTCTCAGTAAGTTCTTTATTTGTGGGAATAGCAAAGTGATAACTAACGGTCAAGAAAATCAAAATACAGAAACCTCAGTCACATGAAGTTTAAACATGACAAGATCAGCAAATGATTGAATATATATATATATATATATATATATATATATATATATATATATTGTTAGAAATCCTATATATACAGCAGAGTAAGATTAGGAGAGTGAGGGCACCATATGATTGTAAATGTTCACTAATTTAATCTTCAAAGAAAGCAACAAGGAATTGTAGTCAAATTCTCCTGCAGTTAAAGTCTTCAAAAACTGGCATTTTCAAGTATCTTATACAGACAGTCCCCAAGTTACAAACAAAATAGGTTCTGTAGGTTTGTTCTTAAGCTGAATTTCGATGTAAGTCGGATAGATACATTTTTAAATGTAACTCCGGCCTTATATATTTGCTTTAGATAGCATAGGGAAGAGTTAACATCCCTGCGGTATTTGTTTTGTTATCTGTGCCCCTGTTTAGAATATTTCACCTCATTTTCTCTGCCTGTGATAATTGGATTTTGAAAAAAAATGGCTTGTTGTGGAAACAAGAATTGGTGATAAATCTTCAGCGGTGACACCTTTTCTCCATGATAATTCTTCCAGGAGTGATTTTCCCTTCTGAAGGGGAGATTTCTTTCACTTCCTGATGTCTTACCCACATTCCTAAATATGAGTCATTTGTAAGTCTGATGTTTATAACTCATTATACTCACATATAAGTCTAGAAATTTTAGTTTTAAAAAAACAGCCTCACAGATCTGGTTTGATTTATCCATGGGTCACTGTGAGTACTGTACCTTAAATCCGATCCAAAAAAAGAATCATCCTAGTCTCTGAATAGTGGAAGAGTTTAACTTGTCCCAAAAGAACCAAAAGAAGTACCAAACCCCTTTACTCCCTCCCATGACATTGTTTCTGGCATTTTGAGTGCCTAAGTGGCGAAGTGGTAGGGGCAGCTGACTGCTTGAGGCAGCACTGGTACATTCCCCTCTAAGAGGAATGACTTTCAACTTATCTATGGATCATATCAAAATCCATAATTTTGCCTCCCCCCCCCAACTGATACATGAGGTTGACATATACATGAGTATATATGGTATTATTCACCATTTTGGACTTATTCTGCACAAAATTCAATTGTATTTTCTCTGAAGAAAGTATTATTTATATATATCAGGCTTCCCACTCCATTAACTGTCACCTGTAAGCAACCAATCTGTCAGCCTCTACCATACAGGGTACATATAGGCCAGGGAGGACTACCATCACAACTCAAATATCATCTGACAGCAGCCATTCCATCAGGATTCAGAATAGGCAGAAAGGAGAAGCATAATGTTAGGTCTGGAGTATCTTTTGGCTCCTTTTTATTTTGAAGTGCTCCTGCTGGTCATTGTGTATGTATGTGTCCTTTAAGTCAGTGTCACCTTATGGTGGTCCTATGAATTTCATACGGTTTTCTTAGGCAAGGAATACTCAAGAGGTGATTTTGCCCATTTCTTCCTCTGAAATACAGCCTACAACATTATGAGAACTTTGTAATTCAGAAGTAATACCCAATTGTTCATTTTTTCCCAGCTCATTCAATATCTTCCTTCTGTGTTAGATTGCAAAACTGAGAGGAGATTCTAATTCTGCTACAAACAGCTTAGGACAGGTTCCTAAATGTTGATCCTCCAGGTGTTTTGAACTTCAGCTCCAAGAATTCATAACTATTGGTAAAGCTGGCTGAAACTTCTGGGAAATGAAGTTCAAAACATTCAGTGGACCAAAATTCTGGTCTATAACATGAGCAATCCAATGCTTGATTTTGATATTTGTAAAACTTTAACAACAAGACTCCAAGCAAATCTGGCAGCTTATTTATAAACCTACTCAGTTTAAAAAAAAAACTTAACAACATTGACAAAAATAAAACTTAGTAAAAACTTACAGCATCCTCTGTGATATCACTTCTTTTCCCCAACAGCTTTGTACTTTTGTCAACAACAAGAAGTCCGATTGTTGTTTTGGGTTCAGTGACACTGATTTTAAGAGTGACATCCTCCGAAGGTCTAGTTTTGTTTTTACTCCAATGCATTTTAATCTAGGAAGATAAAACATATTGGTTTCGATTATAAATTTTCAGATTTAAAACAAGTCACTATTTTCATTCAGATATTTATCCTTGTATTTGGTTTGATGCAACTGAAAATCTAGACTGGTCCAGAAAGGAAGGAAATCAACACCTAAAAAGATCTTAACTTTCAAAGGCTTTAAAACTTTTATTATGTTGTGTGTTAACATGATTTTAACTTTCAATTTTGCTCTCAGTTCAAATTCTTGCGTTGCAACTATGTTTTATTCTTTTGCTCTTGTTTTAAAGTAACATGTTTACTTTTGTAGTTATTGTTTGCTACATATAAACCTTATACAGTGTAATGTTTTAAATGCATATGATTGTTTTAGTTCATATGCAACCTGTGGAATTATTGCTCATGGAACACCTTATAAACTGCAGCACTGATGAAAAGGCTAATTAATCTCACTAACGTAGACCACTAAATCAAATGGAATCTATTGCTGATGCAAACAACAATTCCTGAATACAATTCAGGACGCCAAATAATTCGGAAATAATTCATATCCTTATTATATCTAATGGAATATGTCTCATACACAAAATTTGCTAAACCCAAATGTTAGTCTTGATTAGAGTAGACTCAGTGAGAAAATCAATACATTCTTTAGTCATATGGACTGAAGCCACCATATGTTTTACATATTCTTTCAAACATAAATAAAACAATCACTTTCCCCTAAAATACTGAAGTTTTAATTTCTGCCAACACATAAATAATCCATGATTTGTCAAACTGTCAAACACCAGCAATAATCCATCTTGTCTTCAGCATCCTTTGCTGGTACATGCAGAAAGTCACTACCAGCTAGCACTTAGTTGACTTCAGCGCAAATCAAAGTGTTATACGCTTACCTGATTTTTAAGAACTAGCTCAACATGGAAATCTAAAAGCATAATTTATTTTGTTGTCTTGTGTCTTCAAATTGTTTCCAATTTCTGTAACCTACCCTGTGATTTGCTTACCAAGATCTGTGCAGGGGGGATTTCTCACTGCCATCTCCCTAAGGTCAGAGCCCCCGTTACCACAATGGGTTAAACCCTTGTGCCAACAGGACTGCTGACCAACAGGTTGGCGGTTCGAATTCGGGGAGCAGGATGAGCTCCCATCACAGCTCTAGCTTCTCATGTGGGGACATGAGAGAAGCCTACCACAGGATAGTAAAACATCAAACATCTGGGCATCCCATGGACAATGTCCTTGCAGATGGCCAATTCTCTCACACTAGAAGTGACTTGCAGTTTCTCAAGTCACTCCTGACCAAAACAAGTCCCCTAAGATTAAATGTATCTCCTGGTCATGGACCCTTTACTCCAAAGTGGAAGGGGACAAATTTGCTCCATGGTAGCCATATGACGCAGAGCTGATACGAGTTAATGCAAACCAAGATTGCTTAGCACAACCTTGAACTGCATTAACAAAAGTCGCTGGCTGCTCCACAACAATTTATATGACCATTAAGTATTTCCCAAGCTCGATCAGCCTGGGGACATGGGATGGCCCTTCCCATCCGCCGCCTATTCCTATTATAAAGTCTTAGTCCAAAACGAAAACCTCTAAATCACACTGACTCCACCTGTTTATATAATTCCCCCTTGGATTCAATTCAAAAACACACCTACCTTATTTTTGAAGTCTGGCTGAACAGGAAACCTGAGGACATCGTTTATTACTTCCCCATTATCATCCACATGGTAGGCAATTATGCATGCTGAAGGAGCCCAGGAATTTTCTGGGGTTAAAGTAAATGTTGTAGACTTCTTTTTACCTGCAGCCACAATTTGTTCTTTAGATACCACCTGAGTAGATGGAAGATAAGTAAGTTAGATTACGTGATTTTAACATTTATTTTAATAAGTTTTTAACTCCACGTTTTTATTGTCTAAACATTGATATGTTTTTATGATCTAATTGATAGTTATATGTTATGGTTGCTCTATATTAGGTTTTATATCTATGTGAGGCATTAAATTTTTGCAATAAATAAGTTGGAAACCGCTTTGAGTCCCTCACTGGGGTGAGAAAAGCGGTATACTACTGAAGTAAAAAAATAAATAGATGACAGCAACACCTAAAAATATTGTAAATCACACAACTTTACTTTTCATTAACCTCCATCAACAAGTATTTTAAAAATCTTTATATTCTGTGTCTTAATAGTACCCGAATGATTATTATGGACTATAAAAATACCCTCTGCTTACAGACTGCTGAATGCCCTTACATATAAGTCTAGAAATTTTAGTTAAAATGTTGATCCCCAAAACCTGGGTTAACTTATCCACAGGCCAATGTAAGTACTGCACCATAACTCTTATCAAAAAGGAACCATCTCCTTGACTCAGTAGAAGAGTGACATATAAGAGATTAGTTCATACCAACAGAACCTAAAAGAAGCACCGACCACTTCCATTCTCTCCACCATACTAATGACATAAAAAAATACAATTACCATATAGCTGATCTCTTTCAATGGTTTGTTGCTCTGGACATTCAATTCCAAGGGTGCTCCAGCCTAAGAAAAAGAACATGAAGTGAATCAGCATGCCCATCATGATAATAGTGTATTACTTTTGTCTTTAAGGTTGAAACAATTATGAAAAATGCAAGTTACCTTTACATCTTGACTTGCTTTTTTAATCTGAAGGTAAGTCATGCTGGCAGAGTAGAAGGTGTCATGTATGGCTATAGAAGTTTGGCTTTCCAGAAATTTGGCCTGTAAAAAAAGCAGAAATGAAAAAGAATCCAAAGAAATCATGAGTAAAGCGAAAAATATTCTAGAACACTGTCAAAATACAGGCAGTCCTCAAGTTATGGACAAGATAGATTCTGTAGACTTATTTTAAAGTTGAATTTGTATGTAAGTCAAAATAGGTACATATTTAAAGGTAACTCCAGCGACACACACATGTGCACACACACACACACGCTTTGGATAGCATAGGGAAGGGTAGTCTGTGCCCTTGTTCACAAGATTTCACCTCACTTTTTGTTCATGTGAGAATTTGATTTTGTAATATGTGACTTATTGTGAAATCAAAGACTGGGGATAAATGTTCAACGGAGACATCTTTTCGCCATAATAATTCTTCCAGGAGTGAATTTCCCTTCTGAGAGGTAGATATCTCTCACTTCCTGTTGTCTCAACACTGTTCTTAACTATGAGTCATTTGTAAATTAGATGTTTGTAACTCGGGGATTGCCTGTAGTATAATTTTTGACTTTTTTAAGTCCATCAAAAGACAAATTCGTTTTAGAAAATATAAAGCTGAAATGTGGCATTTGAGCCAAAAAGTTGCACTATATTAGAACACAAAAAAGGGAGTTGTGTAGGACGTGCTGTGTTCATGAAATACTGTAATTAATTTCAAGTTGTTCTCTAGTCGTTCCTTCAAACAGAATTACAGTGCTGTTAATTTTCTTTCTTCTCTCACACAGAAATCAAAGTAAGCTGATTTTTTTTCCTTTTTACAATTGCTAACATTACAAGTGGGAACATTTGCTTCATCACACAATTACTCAAACTATGGTCTAGACCAGGACTTCTTAAACTTTTCCATTTACCACCCTTGCACCTTCTGAGTTCTCCCCTCAGACACATACCACTCAATTTACTTATCTCACTCAGGGTTTTATCAATTTTATTCTGTACATTTGGCCCACCCATTATGCTTTTTATTCCTCCACAATGTTATTTGTGCTTGTTTATTGTATATTCTGTTATTTTATGCATTTTTATTTTGATGTTATTATTTGTTTGTTTGTATTTTACTTTGCTGTATTGTAATTTGGGCTTGGCCTCATGTTAGCCACCCCGAGTCCCCTTCAGGGAGATGGTGGCAGGGTATAAATAAAGATTATTATTATTATTAATAATAATAATAATTATTATTATTATTATTATTATTATTATTATTATTATTATTATTTCTGCCAAGAAATGTTTACGTAACCCCAAATATACAGGCATTTAAAATAATTATAAAAATCAAACATTTACTGATAAACCAGTATTTGCAAAACTTGCCAAACAGGCTGATTTTCCTTTTTATGAAGTACAGTTGAAGCATCTTCTGCAAAGTTGTAAACACTACACAACAGATTCTTGTAATGTTTAAAACAGTTACTAGGTGAGATTCAGAAAACTTTTGCTGTTGCCAATATTTGTAGGGCCCCAACATAGAACAAAGGGGACCCCATCTGGGGTCAGGCCCTATGGTTTAAGAAGCAGGGGAATAGATTATTATCATGAGCCTTCACTACTCTCCCTCCACTCATCTCTTCTTTTGCACAGAACAACAGTTTTGCATCATGCACTGATATAAGGAGCTGTGGTTTATTCTAACTCATTAGCTGAAAAAACCAAAATATCAAACTATAGTTACAATAAACCACCATTCCTTGACTTTGTATTTAATAGAAAATTCTTAATATGAGAGCAGGTGAGGTTAGAAACTTTCAATCTCATCCTCATCTGTTCTAATACTAACAGAGGCTTGCTGAGCAGAGTACTTGAAAGAATTGCTAAGATGAATTTTAAGCACTCTGAACATTAAGACTGTTTAACATGAAAACAATAAGAAAGTTTCCATACTAAGATTCTTTTTATCTGCCACTTAAGGCAAGTGTCTCCAATATGTTGTCCTTCAGACATACTACAGTATATATAGCAGCAGGGTAGATAGCGGTGTGGTTTGAAACAAAACAACCAGAAAAATATACCTTAATATTCAATCTTGTTGTATTTTCCTGAATTGGAAATTCAATTTGAATAATTCCGTCTTCTGGAACAGGATAACTCAGGTTCTGCGCTGTTTCATTTGTCTGTGATTCATTGTCATCGTCATCGTACATGTAGTAAATTCTTTGGAAAAAGCCAACATTTTTGGAAGGTTCAAAAGAGACCATTACATTATTCATCCTTTCATCGTGTGTAAGTGGCTTGTTGTCAAATCTTGTTATTTTCAGCTGAAAATCATTCAAAGACATGGTGATGAATCAACTCAAACTTTCCAAACTACAGTGAAAACTCTTTTTTAAAACAACAGTAATGCTTATGTTTTGATTCTGA